ATCATGCCACACCTTTTGGGTCAAAATATTTACAAGAAATGTTTGAACTTTCAGTATACCCCAGTCAGGCTTGTTACCATTAAAATGAAATATTGTGGTTAACAATCAACCCACTCTTTTTTAAAAATTATTTCTTACTAAAATAAGATTGAATGAGCTGAGTAAGTCTGTTCTGATCCTGAGTCTTATACCTGATCATAGTGGGGTATAGCTCATTTGCATGCACAAAATTAACGGTAGAAGCGGCAGAACAAAATGCTCCTCCAAGTGTTGCTGAAATGATACGCAGGGTCTGCATTTCTGGAGAGAGGAAAAATAGGAACAGTGAGAATCTGAGCTGTAGGAGGAATTCACACATCTCAAATTCCAAATTGAAGTTACCCTTGTTGGAGGTATGTACAGGTGTAAAACATACAGCACTGAAACTTACACAGAACTGGATGTTCATCCATAGCTGATGAGTTGAGAAAGGTGGTCTACCTTCAGATATTGGTTTATGGAAAGCTTCTGAACAAATCAGACCTTGTATCTCTGATATTTTCTTAAGAAGTAGAGAGAACTGTCAGCTTGGAAGGAGTTCACTTTTGCTGAGAAGATGGGTTCAGATTTCCATTGGTGCAGGGGCTCAGATCTCATCAGCCTGAAGAGAGTGCTGAGCTCTGGCCCCCCTCTGGCCTCCATCTAGCAGAGGGCCTGAGAACCCAGTGGACTGCCTGAGAGCCCCCCAGATCCTGCCCTCACATGATGGTGAGCTTCTCCTAATTGCACCATACCCATCCCCCTACCTGGGGTTTTGTGAGGCCCCACCCAAGGCCCCAGGGCAGATCTGGCTTTGATAGGCTATGGCTGAGATCCTAGCAGACAGCCTGAGAGGGTGGGATACGACCTCCATTGGTGTAGTGGCTTGGATCTCAGCAACCTCCAGAGAATGTTGAGCTCTGGCCTCCCTCTGGCCTCCATCTAACAGAGGGCCTGAGAACCCAGGGGACCGCCTGAGAGCCCCCAGATCCTGCCTCCACTTGGTAGTGAGCTTCCCCTAACTGCACTGTAGCCATCCCCCTACTGGGATTTTGTGAGGCACCTCCCAAGGCCCCAGGGCAGATCTGGCTTTGGTAGGCTAAGGCTGAAAGCCTAGCAGACAGCCTGAGAGGAACTCCATCTGTACAGTGGCTCAGATCTCAGCAGACTGAAGACAGTGCTCAGTTCTGGCCTCCCTCTGGCCTCCATCTGGCATAGAGTTGAGAATGCAGGGGACTCCCTGAGCGTGCCCGGATCCTGCCTCCACGTGGTGAAGGAAGCCTGAGTGTACCTGACTGGAAACTGAATTGGGCTTCTGGGGGTACTCCTGAATAGCTGGTCTGAAGCCATCAGTTCCCTCCAAATTAAACCTGAGAGAACCTGAACCCTGTACCAACCAGCTTTACATAACCAATAAAGAAAGGATCTAGGCACCCAGATGATACAAACAGACACATACTTCAACTTAATTCTCATATCAGAATCATAAACAACAAAACATATTCACATGCCAAAACCACAATGAAAGAATAATAAAATGGAAAGTCAAATCACCAAGCTTTCCCAATTTCCCCACCAAACTCCACCAATACTGTAGAACATTTCTACAAGCAGAACCCCCTAGGGAAAACCCAGGACACTGAATTTAAAAGAACAATCATAAACATGATCAAGGAATTCAACAAATTTAAAGAATACACAAACAAACAAATCAAAGAGCTTAAAGAAGATAGGGACAAACTTCTTCTGAATGAAGTCACAAAAGAGATACAAAGATTGAAGAAAACTCAGGCAGAAATGAAGAAGGACGTGCAAAACAACAGGGGAAAGCCTCACCAACAGAATGAATGAAATGGAAAACAGAATATCAACACTGGAGGATAAAGTTGAAGACCTGGACCACTTAAGCAAAGATTATGGAAAATTTTTAAAAACACAGGAGTGGAATATGCAAGAGATGTGGGACACCATGAAAAGGAACTGGCTCAGCAAACTTACCAAAGTCGCTTCATTTTGTTCAGAGCCATTTTAGCAGCAACTTTGCTCCACACCAAAAGGAAAAGGGGGGCAACCTTGGGTCTTGGGAAATTGTCCTAGCCATGAACCACGGAATGTGCTCATTCCAGACATTTTATACTGGCTAACTGCTTGTTTTTGTTTCTGTAACTTGCCATTTTAGGTCACCTTGACACAAAGTATAAGACCGCCCTGTTATTGTATGACCACCCAGTAACTGCTGATTTCAGCTTTCTTTCTATACTTGTTATGGCTAGGAAGTTAACTAATTTTAAAATTACAAAGTTAATTGCCAAGTTATATGACTGTATCACTTGTCTGTATAATGATTGGTTGTTGATTAATTGATTCAAAGGACTGTTATGTTGTACAAACCTGATTTGTTCAGAAATGTCCTGTTTGAATAATATTTCTGTAATCCTATAAAAACTCTGACCTGACAATCATCAGAGCTGCTTCTACTCCCGAGATAGACAGGCCAGTCGAAAAATAAAATTTACCTTGCTACTTTTCTTAAAGTGCTGTTGGTGATTTTTTGCAAACTCCGTCATGTAACAGAAAAGACCAAATCTATGAATCATAAGAATAGAGGAAGGAGAAGAATTTCAAGTTAATGGTGTTGACCAGATCTTAAATAGAATTGTAGGAGATAATTTCCTGAAATTAAGGAAAGATATCCCCATACAAATACAGGAAGCACATAGAACACCAAATA